TCTAAATGTCAAATTATTTTTTATGGCTGACCTGACAATTTGACGTTAAATAAGACCATTCTTCTCCACCCAATATATCAAAAATTATATTATTTATTATGTAAAATTAAAAATGGAAAAGCAATCATAATGATACTATATAGTTTTAAAGCAGGCCATGTTAACTATTATAAGGCCCCAAAATATGATCTGAATTTGACAAAATTCATCTCCAACCGAAGGCTGGACTAAAAATTAGTGGAGCTCACCAGGCTGCATGGACAAAGGGCTATCTGGCTGGCCAAGGTTAGCCTGGTACCGTCATGCCTCGACCCGCGAATAAAGACTATTCACAAGCTATGATGTATATTAGCTATAGAAATAAATTCTACAACCAAGATATGGTGGAAAATAAAATTAAAATTATTTGGAACTGATTACACAATACATCGTGTAACAAAATCTTACATAAAATTTATCAAATATGCAGCAGAATAATTATGGTGGACAAATTAATTCACAACAAAAAGTACCAACAAACTAATAATTAAATTGTAACAATTCTTTCGAATGCATGAAATATATGCAAATGAGATGGATGAATGTACTCACTCCCTTCTAATCCCATCAACACATACCTAAGGCACCCAAACCTGCACGTCCCATACCATACTTATACCACTTGACTTCGAATACCTTAGAATATGAGTTAACTCCCGTTCATCCCTTAAACCCAATTTTTGTAATTAAATTCTCAGTTTCCATTTTATTATATAGGCACTTCCCCCAACGCCCAATTGTATATTCAAGTCATTCCCCCGACGCCTGACATATACAAGATTTAATTATTTTATAACCAACTGGTTGTATACTCAAGCCCTTCCCCCAACGCCTGACGTATACAAGGTTCATTATTTTATATTCAAGGCAAATTTCAGTCCTTGAATATTCTCTCAACTCAAACACTTTACACAACTCAACACAACTGAACTCTCTTTCTTGTTGTGCAATGCATATGTATGTGTCAATGCATATGTATGTGTCATGTTCACATAGATATCAATAATCACATTTTCTTTAACAAGCATGAAAGTTTCAACATAGATCAAATTAATTAGTACAACAGTAATATAATCATAATATTAACAACAAAGTAATAATCAACATAAATGATAAACAATAAGTTACCGTTTCCTCATTTTTTATTGTTTCAATTTCATTTCCTCCCTCTTGTTCTCTTTCTTCATTCACCACTTCCCCTTCCTCTTCTTTAATATAGCTGAAATTCTACATATGTAATAGGAGTCGGATTGCTGAAAAACTTCCATGAAGGTGAGCGAAAGAAACTAGAGATGTTGGCCATGCAAAGAGGTTGGTAAAGAAGGCTAGCTCAACCTAACATCAGCTGTTCGAACTGGGGTACAAGTTAGTACATAGATTGGATTGTCGTGATTTTTGAATATGTTACAGAAAAGATGATAAGGAACAACTTTTGTGAAGGAAGTCTTTCGATTGGAGCTACGAAAAATGGGGTTTTGGTACTTATAACATGGCTGTCCAGTTTTCTGCTGGATTAGAGACCAAGTTGGTATTTCAAACATATTGGACAATCGCACAGTTGGATTTTCCTGAAATTTGGATTTATCATGGTAGAGAGACAGACGAACAACTCTCATGAAGAAAGTACTATGATATAATCTATGGATGTTGGTGTTTTGGTCTGTTAAATAGGCGGGACGAATTTCTAGTTTTTTTATATTTTAATATCTTTCTTTTGATAGATGAAAATGACGGTGAGTTTGGTGGAGAGATTTATTGGGTAATGTCTCATGTATTTTTCTGGGATTTGTCTCACACTTTTTGTACATCATTCTCAAGGGATATAATTGGAGATGATCTCAAAATGTAAATGCATAGACAACACAAGATTTAAGTGGTTAGCCAAATCGACTACATCCACTAGGGTTTGCTTTCATTGTATTTCACTGTACACGAGAGACTTACAAATACAATGAAAAATGGCTTAAAGTCCTAAAAACATGTAAAAGAAAGATAAGGAGATAATATGAAAGGGAGAATGGCTTTCTTTTTGGAGTGGTTCTTTCTTCCCTTTTTCTTCTTCTTCCTCTCTCTTTTCTCCATGTCTTCCGTTGGTTCTTGCTCCTTCCTTTATAAAGATTGTATGAAATTTTATCGGCTTCGATCTAAAAGTCCCACTTCCAACATTCCTTTTTCTTCTTCTCCCTCAAGTTTTTCCACCTCCATGACTCTAATCCAGCCATTTTTTGACTTTTCCATTTGCTTCTATCCTCAATCGTTCTCCCACATGTTCGATTTTGTAGCCATATCTTTCACTCGCGTTTTGCGGTTCTCTCATAAGGTGTGTAGAGCTCCTATGGTGTACACACCACCACCTTCCAATTGCATGCCATTTTAGGCTTTGTTGCTGGGGGAAAATTCTTTCCCTTTGGCTTCTTTCTTCGGTGGTTGCGGTTTCGTTTTGTGTGGTGCTTGTTGGAGGATGATGGTGCTTTCTTCTTTGAGGCTGTGTTTGGTGGGGTCGTTGGCATGGGTTGTTGGCTTGTGGTTGGCGGCAGGTTCTTCGACGGCGGCGGAGGAAGCTAGTCTTTTAGGTTTTTTTTGCTTTTTTGTGTTTCTGTTTTGGGCTCTTCTCTCGGGTTGGGCTTTTGTTTAGTGTTTGGGGTGCACTTTTTGTTTTGTGTTTATTGTGTATTTGGGCCCCTTGTATTGTACTTGTGCTCTATTGGTAATGAAAGTTACCTTTGTCCAAAAAAAAAAGAGGAGTGTATATAGGGAAAGGGATCTTCTCCAGATCCCTTCCACCTAATCCTCCTCATCAAACAATCCGGGCCCTTGAAATTTGATCCAACGGCTAAAAACACAAACCCACTTTAAAACTTATAATAACTTTAGCTGTTGGATCAAATTTCAAGAGCCCGGATTGTTTAATGAGAAGGATTAGGTGGAAGGAATCCGGAGAGGATCTCTTTTCTATATATAAGACACAATGAGCAATTAAATATTAGACATATAATTAGCTAAGAGCATTTTCAATGGAGATGTCAAAAAAATGTGCCTAATTTGTATTTGATGACTGAGTTGACGTTGAAATAACATATTTAGACCATCTTCAAAAGAAATGTCAAATTATAAGAGTCAAATTATAATTGATGGATGATGTGGCAATCTGAAATCTTATGTCAAATTTTGTACTTTTTCAATTTAATTGTCAAATGTTATTTTATTATTTTAATAGAGCTTTAAATGATTGTAATTATTAAGGAAAAGTTAAAAAAAAAATTTATTAGTTGAAATGGTAGTGAAATAAGAGACATACTATTAAAATGAATTAAAAATAAATTTGACATTGATGTCAAATTGATGTCAAATTTGACTATAAATCACAAAGCCTTTAAATTCAGTTAGCAAGCAACACTTCGGTTGAATAAACTTTTAAGATCAAATATATACAGTAACATTCCACTTAGGATTTTGACACCTCCTTGAATGAGTTCAGGTTTTCTGCATCCAAATACTCCTGTGGCCCCTCTCGACACCTGTCCGTTCCTTTAACCTAACCAAACACAGTTAAATCTTCTGTCATCTCCTAAAACAAACCAAGTGTCCCAACCCAAAACCAAAACCCAACTCCCTCACTATGTCTGCGTGGGGTTTCAAAATCGGCGGCCACGGCTCCAGAAACTGCTGTGAGATCAAGTCCAACAGCTGATTGGAGCTTAATTAGTCTGACATACAAGAGTGAGATCAACAATTTTGTTGATTTGGTGATGAAGGGATCGATATGATCCTGATTTAAATATGGTGCGGCGGCAACAAGGAAGAGATCGTACAGAGGCGGAGTATGGTGGGTGTCTGCCGAGGTTGAGTGTGGGTGGTGGTTGTCGGTTTGGGGTGGCTGTTGTGAGAAAAATCAAATCACGGAGGAAGTAAAGGGAAAATGGCCCACCAAAAATTTTAAAACCCACCTCTCAAATCCTTGAAAACTTCAAAGGCACAACTACATAGTCTAAATCCATCCTAGAACAAAGCACTTGAGCTAAATGTTGGCTTATTTTCCTTGTCTTCTTTGTGCAGCAGCAGCTCAAGCATTTTTCAGAAGTTGAAAAGATGAAATATTTAGTGAGAGAAGGGGAGAGTCGTAGAAAAAAGAATTGGGCTTTGTCTATTCAGCTGATAATGGTGGCGGAGGAAGCGAGTTGCTCACCGATTCGAGCGGTGGCAAGTCGAGAAAGAGCGGCAATTCGAGCAAATCGAACTTAGGAGATTTCCAGTGAGGAAGGGAAGAGAAAATGCCTTTCTGGCTGTTGCCGTTGGTTTATTAGGGAAATAACAGAAGATTTAACAGTGTTTGGTTAATTTAAATGAACGGACAGGTGTTACATATTTAGAATAGTCACAGAGGGGACACATGGGTATTTCATTTCATATTTGGATGCAGAAAATTTAAACTCCTTTTTGAAGATGCTCTTAAAATTTCAATCTTCAGCGAAGACTCATAAATACATATTTTAAAATACGTTATGTTTACATTTTGGTGGGACTCAAACCAATCGAAAGTAAATAAGTTGCTTTGGAAGTGGTGAAAAATATTTAAAAAAATCAAAATATATGTGGGACTGTGTAAGTGTCCAATTAATAAGTTAATCAAGATGACATCTTCAAAGAGAAAAATGTAATTTAGAGCCTCAATGTTATTAATGCATTAGTTTTCGTTTGCAAACAAAATTGAAATAAGAATTTAAAAGAAATCATTAAAAACGACATTATCATGACCCAAGTTTTGAGTGAAGAGATGTATTATGAAATCCTCAAACAAAAATTTCAACACGTAACGTTTTCAGGATGAAAATTTTATTTGAACGAAGATCGCTAATGGACACATGACAAGTGTACGATTGATGGCATTTGCAACTTGAAATTTTGCTATCACCGCCAACCCTGCCTGACCACAACAATATCCACACATCATACACTCCCACTCTCTTGTTCTCATTTATTTATTATTTTGTGTCTGATGATTCTCTCTCTGCGCGTCTTGTTCGCTGCGGTGCTCAATCATCTGTCTGTGCTTGGAGCAATTCCAAAGTCATAGGGAAGAGCCTCCTTCTCTTTAATCCGACGGCAACACAAACCCAAGTGAGATTGCTTCTCCTCTTTTGATCCTCCATTGCCGATTGCTGCTCTCTCTCTCTCTCTCTCTCTTCCATTTTTCATCTGTTTGGTGTCCGTGAGTCTGTTTCTGTTATTAAATATGTGGATTTTAGGGTCATGAAGAAACCTCTGCTCAATGATTGAAACCCAATTGTCTCGGCCTTGAGTTTTGTTGGGTACACCGTAAGATGGATAAACAAAATACATACATAGATATTGTACTATGATTTTAAACCTGCTCGAATCTACTCGTTTTAGTGCTGATAAAGATTCAACCTTTTGTTGTTGTGGTTGCGGTTGTTTTTCTGCCTGCATTTTCTCACTCCAAATACCTTTTGTTTTTGTTTGTTTGCTTCATACGGGTCATGTGCTGCTATTTATGCTGCAGATCCTATTCTCCACGGTCTAGCAGAAGAAGGATCACTGATATGATGTTTTTATGTCGCAGGGAAGTTGATCACTTGTTAGGCTTTCTATCTATTATTTCCAAGAGGGAGGGCTGCCTGGCTGGTAAAATTGATGGAGGGTTCGATCAGGTGCTCTGCCAACTACATCCCTCTTTCTCCGATCAGCTTCTTGGAGCGCTCCGCCATAGTCTACAGAGACAGGCCATCTGTTGTGTATGGAAACATCGTCTACACTTGGAGACAGACACTTGAACGATGCACCAGACTCGCTTCTGCTCTTGCCCAGCTCGGAGTTTCTTACGGAGATGTGGTAAGAAACCAACTTCCTGTCTTGTGTTACTATGTAACACTCTCATTTTGTCCAAATTATAATAAACTACAATTTTGCTCGGAATTTTATACAACCCTTTGCAATTTGCGTCTCAGATTTTTGTGGCTTCGGTGGTGTGGTTGGTTTGTTTGTTTGCCTCTTTGCTTTTGTTTCTTCATTCTGTTTCTTATGTCACAATGTTTAATCAACATAGCTATGGAGGAGAGGGTGGTTGTGAATTTGTGATTACTTTAAGTCCTGTGGTTTTTGCATCGTTCGTGTTAAGGCTGCTTTAAACACCTTTGTAGCTGAAGTATATGAATTTTAAAGTTTCTTCTTTTATGACTTGAGCAGACTTGAATTTTTTGTTCATTCACTAATAAAGTTATCCATGCTAATACGGTCATGCTTCTACATCTCATCACTTTCGTTCTAGGCAACAAATGAATATCATGCCCACAGTGCAGCATTTTTTCTCCCTGATTTTCGTTTCTGATTTCTTTTTCAATTTCTCGCTCTCTCTTTCTTATATGGCTTGAGATAAATCCTTAAAAGTGTTGACATTAAATTTTGATGACCAGTTCTACCTTTGCCCACAATAAGCTTTTGTTCTTTCGGACAGGTTGCTGCATTGGCTCCAAATATTCCCGCAATGTATGAGCTCCATTTTGGTGTTCCAATGGCAGGGGCAGTTCTCTGTACACTTAATATACGCCATGATTCAGCAATGGTGTCAGTGTTACTAAAACATTCAGATGCCAAAATCATTTTTGTAGACTACCAATTGCTTGATGTTGCTAAAGGAGCAATTGATATTCTATCCAAGACTAGGACCAAGCTGCCCGTTTTAGTCTTAATCCCAGAGAGTGATCAATCATCCCCTGACTTCTGTAATCCCACTTCCGGGAACTTGGATTATGAGAGCCTGTTAGGACGTGGAAATTTTGATTTTGAGATCCGACGACCAAAAGATGAATGGGATGCAATTTCACTCAACTACACTTCAGGCACTACATCGAGCCCAAAAGGCGTCATTTATAGTCACAGAGGTGCCTATCTTAATTCTTTCGCAGCAGCTCTACTTAATGAGATGAGCTCATTGCCTGTATATTTATGGTGTGTTCCCATGTTTCATTGCAACGGGTGGTGCCTCACTTGGGCTGTGGCTGCTCAGGGTGGCACTAATATCTGCCAAAGGAATGTCACTGCAAAGGGCATTTTTAGCCATATTTCTGAGCACAAGGTAACCCACATGGGTGGTGCACCAACAATTTTAAACATGATTGTAAATGCTCCGGTACATGAGCGGAGGCCACTTCCGGGTAAGGTAATAGTCATGACTGGGGGTGCACCGCCACCAGCCCACGTACTCTTCAAGATGGAAGAGCTAGGGTTCAGTGTAACCCATTCATATGGTTTGACAGAAACTTATGGACCTGGTACAGTTTGTGCTTGGAAACCTGAATGGGACTCCCTGCCTCGAGATGAACAGGCAAAGATCAAGTCCCGGCAGGGATTGCAACATCTTGGCATGGAGGAGGTTGACGTTAAAGATCCCGTCACCATGAAAACTGTACCATCTGATGCAAAAACCATGGGGGAGGTTATGTTCAGAGGTAACACTGTAATGAATGGATATTTGAAAGATCATCAAGCAACGACAGATGCATTTAAAGGGGGATGGTTTCGTAGTGGTGACTTGGGTGTGAAACACCCGGATGGTTACGTAGAGCTAAAGGATCGTTTAAAGGACATTATCATTTCTGGGGGTGAAAATATTAGCACAATTGAGGTTGAATCAGTGCTCTTCAGCCACCCAGATATTCTCGAGGCAGCAATTGTGGGAAGGCCTGATGATTATTGGGGGGAGACGCCCTGCGCGTTTGTGAAGTTGAAGGATGGCTGTAATACTGACAAGGAGGAGATTATTAAGTTTTGTAGGAATCGGTTGCCCCACTATATGGCTCCTCGGACTGTTGTTTTCTCAGATCTGCCAAAGACTTCGACTGGGAAGGTGCAGAAGTATGTACTGAGAGAGAGGGCAAAGTCCATGGGAAGTCTCTCCAAGAACAGCATCAGCAAACTGTAAAAAAATCCCTTATTGCTCCTTTGAGTTCTGCATTGTATTATTGTCAATTTCCCTTTGTTTTTGCTTCTCTATCGACACTTACATCCTGTGAGTACCCCTTTATTTCTCTCTTTGCATTTAAGTATCATATCGTCACTAAAAGTGTAAGACTTTGTCAACCAAGAATCGGGAAGATCCTACTTCCTACCATTATTACATGGGAAGTGCTTGCTAGATACAGTAGTGTTGATAGGCACCGTGGTGGTGCAATAGATGATTATCGTGTGTGCAAACAGTACGCTCTCAAGTGACTTGCATCTTCTCCTCCAAGAGTTGATTCACAAGGACTGCCGTCGGATCTAGGTTGGATCGATGCAGCTAAGAGGAAGGATTATTTTACAAACTCCTTGGCCGATGTCGATGTGCATCAGCTTCCACGTACGTAAATACTACAGAATATCATCAATATCTTAAAGGAGACATGAAACCAAAAGCGCAATGCTTGTACAAATTGTAAAACAATTATTTGAGATTCTCAGTAAAGAGCAATCGTTTTAGATTTGTAATTACAAATTACAATTACAACATTTCTATGTTAAACTAATGGAGAATGCGTCAGAAATTTGACGAAATAAAATACGATATAATAAATGGTTCTACTTTTCATTGCATTGATGTCTTCTATGCTAATACCTTACACGACGTGTTGTAGATGGTAGGGTCTAAGTTGGATACCATACCGATGTGGCTATACCTCACTAATACGACGCTCTGAAATCTTAACATGGTATTAGAATAGTTTATTGATATGACCCAATTAATGAAGAGTGGGTGTCACTAGACAAAACAATCATAGACAACTCTTTTCCATCCCTTTTAATCAATGGTTAGGTTGTGAAATTGATTCAAACAATAGTTACATTATCTAACATATGACCACTAAATACTTTGATGAACGGGCATTGCAACTATCACACCTTCTCGATCGGCCTTTTTCATGGATATAATGTCTTATATTATTGTTTGGCTGCATTTGTTGTATGTCTCTCTCAAGATAGACATCAAAATCATAGCGTTCTCTTATCCTTGTTCAGTTCAAAATCAAATATTCTTTTAGTTCCTTGTCTACTGTTGTGTTTTGATTTTGGGGGAAAAATTAAAAGTAGACGACAAGTTCGATATCAAATTAATATGAGATATTACTCTAAACGCTCATTCTTTTAGTATAAATAAAATCGTTGCATTAAAAGAATTGATTTTATGAAGGGGACGATGATTAAATACCCTATAGCACTTGATAATCAACTCCCATGAGGTGTACAGACCTTTGTTTTTTTTTTTTTCTTTTCTTTCCCTCAGAGGTGTCCAGACCGTTTGGTTAGGTGAGTAATGATGATGTTTGTACTTATAGCTATATTTGTGTAATCAAGTGCCTTATTTGTATGTAACCTATGCTTATATAAATTAATAACATTTTCAAGAAAATGAAATTTTTTAATCAATAGAGTTCTCACCTTTTGTATATTTAAAAGTAATAAAAAAAATGTTTTCATAAAAAAAGTGATTACCTATCCAGTTAAAAAAAATGTTTTGAAGTTATTAAAATCATGTCAATGTGAATATGGTCCAAATACAACTTATACGTCATCACATAAAAATGACATACTCACTATATCATCAATTTGACAAAAGATCAAACAATCAATCCAATATTCATTTTCTATTTTTGAAGAGAAGCACAAAAAACTTTTACAAGAACTAGAATACCCTTTTTTATACAATGTGAAGGATGAAGATCCACTCCAAATCTTTTTTTATTAGGATACTCACATTTATATCTTCATTGTACATCGTGTGATCAACTTTTGTTATATATTATTTGTATTAATTTTAAATAAAAAATAAAAAATAATTACTAACTATACAATGTACGATAAATGAATATGATATGAGTATCTAGATGGAATCCAAATTCCAAAGGAGGACAAAAAGCATATTAGCGTAAACAAGTGTACAACTCTGTCCCGTATTAGAGAAATTTTTAGTTGTGACGGAAATACGGATGGTACACCACGTATTTTTATATAAATGGTGGAAAATTTTAATTTTTAAATTATTAACATTTCAACACATATATCCTATAATTTATATAAGAACACATGATCATGTATCACCTTGTGCGACGGTAACGTTGAAAAATCTCTCCTCATATTATATGTCGAACAGTTGAAATTTCTTTGAAATCCAGACAGAGAGAAGCTTGCATAACAACCCAACTTCTCAGTCCAAAAGACTCCAAATTTTTCTTCAACTTCCTTCCCTTCCCTGTATTATAGCAATTCTTTATAGGACCTCTCACTCTAAGCGCCATATTTTATTGCGCATCAGAATTTCTTAGTACCCAAATAATTTCTTTCTGCTTCTGTTGGATTCTTTGCTTTCAGCTTAAAATCAGTCGGAAAAACACTTTTCTTCAGTTTTGGAATTGCTTTTGAACTTCAAAGGCGGTTTAAACTTTCGCCCACCAAATGGTCTACGCTTTGACTTGCTGGTAGTGGCGGTTCCTGTCTTTTGGTAAAAAAATACAGTTAGCATTCGAGCTGTCCATGATCTGCATGTGGAACAGCTAAATTTCGATAATTTCGACTTTTGGGCTTTGTTCCTGAAGCGGTTTGAACTTGTGGGTTGTATTTTTTTCTTTTGCTTTTTTTCTAGCGATTCTCTGTCTTGTGTTGTGAGGTTCTGGATATTGGAAGTGTTTTTGAAGGGTTTGAGGTTTTTTGTTTTAGTGGGGTTTTGTTTTTGTTTATGTTTCTTCACATCCTGAAATTCGATTTTTGGTACAGTTAATAATTCGATACTGGGAACTGAGTTGTAAGTTATTGGAGTTGGGGTTAGTTGGTGGTTTCAGTTCATGGTTTGTGTTCAGGATTGTAGATACGAGGAGCCGAAATTAAGGTTGTCGGAGTTGGGGTTTGGTCGGTTTCTGTTGCGCATCCCCGTGCACTAGGCAAAATGGGAAGCAATGGGGTTGACCATCCATTGAAACATTTGGAAGAGGAAGGCGGTAGCAGCCAAGGACAGAGTAAGGATTTTCTGTTAAGTTGTCGAATTTATGATTCGGTGGAAATGGATAACAAGTATTCAAATGAACGATTGGTTGCAGGTTGTTTTCAGCAGGAGAGGAATCAGAAGACAAATTCTTCACGGCCTTCTCCGGTTTTAGAGATTTTTCAGGCAAAAGAGTTCAATGTTGGTTCTTCACCTCGGAGAGGTTAGTGCCCCCACGTATTCCGAGTTATAGTTGTTTTTGTTATCTGTAATGCATCGAGGGACAAAAAATGAAGCTTTTCCTTGACGAGAGACCAGGTTCTTACTCTTCTGGTTGAACTTGAACTATAGTTTGACAATGTGGAATTACTTAATATTTAGCCAAGAAACTTTCTATTAACACCAATGAACCAAAATGTGTTAAGCTTTATTGCCTATACAATGCGGAAAGGAGCTTCCCGTCTTAGCTTAAAATTCAAGAGTATATTGCCAGGATGTTAGTTGTGCACTTTAGTTTAGTAATCAGTCATTACTTAGTGACGTCACTGAGGTGTAAATAAGTCATGGAATTTGGAATTTAGATGACCGGACTGATATTCTAGAGCGATACTGAAAAAGAAATGAAATGACGGATTGAAGTAGAAGAATAGTTCTTAAAATATTCATGTTGTCTAAATTGTGGAAATACTTCAGATCCTAAACTATGATTATGTCCACTATTGTTGTTGGTGTTTCAGTGAACCATAGGATGATGTGATCATGATCCAAACTGATAGTCTAATTAGTCCAATGATGTGATCATGCCTACCCCAGATGTTACTGGACTTTAATGCCATACTGGGATCCATTTAAATATGTATTTATGTTTCTTTTGTTCTGGTGTTTATCTAATATTTTCTCACCGATACATACGGTTGGACCATTCAATCACGGCACCAATTGGCACTCCCAAAGGTATGCTGATTGAGGATTATGAGATTAGATTCCCTAGATCCAGGATGGAGAGGAAGGGAAGGCATGACTTAAAGCTGGATAGACTGTCAGAGCGTGAAAAGGTAGATACTATTATATGCGTGGTTGTTTGATCCCATTCCTGCGTTTGCTTATAAATTTTGATCTTCCAACTTTCAGAACTAGAAACATATTTGTTGGACTAGTTTCCTTCATGAAATTGCAACTTCATGCTGAAGAGATGTGTGCCAAATGTTGTCCCCTAAATTTGTTTGCGAAACATGGGTGTATGACAGACCCTGTCTTACACAGTATCTTGTACTGTTTCAGTACCTGATAATAGTGACATAAATTGAGTTATAATCTAGTGGCTCCAACCACTGAGGTTGCTAGTTATCCTCCATCCCACTCCCCCTTCCCCCAATTCCTTATAAACATAATTTTGGATTGCAGATGGTTTATTTGATTTTATACATTCTTATGGTTCATTCTCTTCTTGGTTGATCATTGCTTTTCTTGTTTTGGTTTTCAGAGAAAACTGATTGTTGAGATGGTCAAGATACAAAACGATGGAACAGTAGAAGTTGATTTGGGAAAAAGTGCACCTGTTGCCTCTGAGTTCTTAGAGCTCCAGACTGTCGAAGATGTGCCCATCAATCTTGATGACACGCCTTCCAATACCATCAAGTCAATTCCAAGGTTGAAAATTTGCATACTTGTGGTTGGAACAAGAGGAGATGTACAGCCTTTCCTGGCTATGGCAAAGAGATTTCAGGCATGTTTAACATAACCATATGACTTCTTTTTGTTGTGTGAATGATTTACCTTTGTTGGCACTTATTTCTTACCTTTCCCCTAGTTGTATGTAATTTTAATATCATGGTTTGTTTTCCTTGTGGAAGAACTAGCTTCCTTCCAAAAAATCGACTTTCATCAATTTACGTTACATTTATGGTCCATGAAGCCTTGAAATAATTTGTTGTCAATTTACATTCAGTGTGCTCTTGTTATACATGTTGTCATCATACAGGTGTGCATTTTATTCTTAATGTACGGTTTTTTAAGAAAGTACCAATATCATTGATATCTTTCCGGTTAGGTATTGTTTTGTTGGTCCAATGAGTGCATTCTAAAGATTAGTTTTGTACCACTCTTTTGAAATATATAGCACATAGGTCATAATTCTTTGGGCTAACAGGATGCGGAGAGGTTAATAATTGTAACTTTGTCCTTGTTACAAAATAGTTATAACTCTTACCTGCAGAGATAGACCATGCTTGATGCTAGTACTTATAATAAATTTTAGGTATCAGTATCACTGATATATTCCTATGTTTCTTGTATGTTTTATTGATTGTAGATGGTTTTATGTTTTCTTGCAGGAGTTTGGCCATCATGTTAGGTTGGCAACTCATGTGAACTTCAGCTCTTTTGTGAAGTCGGCTGGTGTAGACTTTTATCCATTGGGTGGTGATCCTCGTGTTTTGGCAGGATGTAAGAGGTCCTTAATATTGAAAGTACTTTTTTTTTATTAATAATATTTCCCAATTTATCTCTTTTTTATTTATTTTTTATTTATTTATTTTTTTTGTGGCGATATTGTTGGTAGCACTTCCTATGTCTCTGTCTATTTTGCCAATGTGTTGTCTGTTTATATGTGGTTCTTTAGACTTACTGTTTTTCTGGCTCGTGCTCTCTCTGCTGTTATCTTTCTCTTTCTCTCAGCTGAACCTTAATTCCAACAAATTTTCTTAAAGTTAAACTGTAAAAGTTTGTGTGAAAGCTGGAGTTATTTGAATATTGACTTCCTTAAATTAACTAACTTCTATTCTTTTAGCCAAAATTTGATATTTCTAGAGCTTAGAACTCTCATTCACGTCATCATTTAGACTCTAAATATGTTTATTGTTCTCAAATTCTCCCCTTAAGTTTATTGAATAACTGAAATTTAGTGCCTTTTAATTTTAGATATGGCCAGAAATAAAGGTCTCATTCCATCCGGCCGAGCAGAAATATTGATACAAAGAAAGCAACTGAAGGCAATTATTGAATCTCTTCTTCCAGCATGCACAGAACCAGATATAGAAACTGGTGTGCCCTTTAAGGCACAGGCAATTGTTGCAAACCCTCCTGCTTATGGTGAGTTAGTACAAGTGGAATATTTAATGTCCTTCAATTGAATTATGTTTCTGGTAAATCAGTATGTATTACAGTTTACAAAAGGTTTTACGATGAACTCTTATTCACAATTAAATTAAAAAGTTGCGTTGTTAGATTCTTGTGTCTTACGTCATCTTTCATTGTTGGACCTTCCCGCTTCAATCAAAGATTAATTAAATCATTATAATAGACCCTCCCTTGTAGTTGGTCCTGTTGAGCTTGAAATCAGAATATTGATCCAGGACTGAAGGACTGTACTGTTCGGAACTCGGAAGCCACGTGCTGAAATATTTAGTTAGCAAAAGGTTTAAACCCTTATTATGGGACCTTTGTAGTAACTAGATCTGTCCTTCAAAGAAAATTGCTTTCATCAAATATGTCAGTCACTCCATTTGTGGATCTGCCATTAGAAAATGAGTGTGTGAAAATATAAAGTGTGATTAATGAACTTATTCTACATCTGCATCTTTTCTTCTTTTATCAAGTAAAAAGATGTAGTTCAATCGTGAGAAACTTCTTTGATTATGTGATATGGGTTGCAGGACATGCTCATGTTGCAGAAGCTCTTGGAGTACCCCTTCATATTTTCTTCACAATGCCATGGACGTAAGTTTTGACCACTTCTTTTCTTGCATTCTTTTGATAGAGTAATTGTCCTCTTGGCAGACGCTATGACTTGTTAAGTTAGTCATTCAATCTGGACCACTCATTCGAACAGGAACCCACTTGAAGAGTTCTTCAAATTGACAATCTGGAAACATTCTAGAGTTTCTGAAATGTTTCCCGGTATACATAATAACATATACAGTTCAATTCTAGTAAGATTCTAAGAAGGGAGGCAAGTCAGGCTGTGATCCTAATAGTTTGGTCCTGGATTAAAACACTTTTACAGATGGGATTACAATGCTCTGATTTGGAGTCTTTTAGTCTTCACCAATAAGAGATATCTAGGATTATGGATTACCTCTTTAAGTTTCTTCATTAGATCGATCTTAGCAAGCGTCAAGCATATACAAGTATAATTGATCCATTTATACCATTCGGAAGCAGAAAAGGTAGAAACTCTCTTGGTCACATGGATTGCATTGGTGTTTCAAGTTGACATGAATAAAATTACAAAATAAAAGATATTTAAGGAAGCTTGAAAGAAATATTATGTTCTTATTCTTGTTTTCACTTTTCAGAAGTATATTATGTCTTGAATGCTGGTTTATTTTGCGAGAAACTCTCTTCTATGTTGTGCCATCTAACGTAGCCTTCTATAGACAGGCCTACTTATGAATTTCCTCACCCACTGGCACGTGTACCTCAAAGTGCTGGTTATTGGGTATGCGATTTGTTTGGTATTTACTTCTATTTATTTTATTGTCATATGTTTGAACCACTGGACTAATTGATGACAAATCTAATCCTATTTCTCTTTGCCACATAGATTTCATACATTATTGTGGATTTACTGATATGGTGGGGTATTCGGGGATATATAAATGACTTCAGAAAAAAGAAGTTGAAGCTTTCTCCTATTGCATACTTCAGCACATACCATGGATCAATATCTCATTTGCCTACAGGCTATATGTGGAGTCCTCACGTTGTGCCAAAGCCAAGTGGTAAGTAATTCGATATTAATTATTCTCTTCTACCGGTAGTATATTTGTTGGAACTTGGAAGGTTTTGACGTCGTATGATATATGCAGATTGGGGATCTCTTGTGGATGTCGTTGGTTATTGTTTCTTAAACCTTGGGTCGAAGTATCAACCTCAAGATGAGTTTGTTGAATGGATTCAGAAAGGGCCCAAACCTATATATATTGGCTTTGGAAGCATGGTATATGATCTCACTTAAATTATGTGTAAAGTGATTAAAACTGCAGTGTGTATTCCTGTTTTCTTTTTTATTTATTTATTTTAAACTTTATGTTATCATGTGCAAAGTTCATATAACTTTCCATATCAAAAAACTTAGTCGAAGATGGAAGGATTGGTAGGACTATCTTCAATAACTCTGATTTGATCGTTAGGAAAGTTCATATAACTTTCGTGCAGATTAGCCTTGTTCCTTGACAATTGACGGTTATCTCGTCTAGTAATATATTTATTTTCTGCTAGATAATTTAGAGGGCTCTTTGAGTACCTTGATAATAATACCAATCAATTCCATAAACATCGATGTCTCAATCGTTGCAGATAGTGTAGAACTGAATTTTCTACCTCTAGATATTTTCTGTCTTGACCCAGAATCAGGATGACAGCTTATGGACGTAATTAAGTCCAATTTTCTTCTGAAGAGGGTGCTTCTTTATCAATGTGGGTTAATGGTTGGATACGTATAATTGTGGCTGATGACTTATTTCTTGAGTTGGTTTAATACTTTGATTTTTATCTTTATTTCTGTAAAAAAAAATTCCTATAATAATTTAGATTCATGGCTGATAAAATCATGTTTTCATCCTGAGTTTTGAAAAGATTAGAACCTAAAACTTTGCCTGTTTTTTGTTAAGCCGCTCGATGATCCCAAGAAAACTACGAATATTATATTGGAGGCGTTGAAAGATACAGGACAGAGAGGAATAATTGATAGAGGTTGGGGAGACCTGGGTAATGGTAAGTGTCTATTCTTTTTTCAATTAGATCTCATTCTTTAACCTGTTCTAGGAAATTCCACTGTATGGGTTAAATTGTTTGTCAAGTATTACGTGCTTTGGTTTGTCAATTCATGTGCCTGTTGATATAGCACTTGACTATATCACCATATTATGGCTCTCTCTCTCTCTCTATGTTAAATTTGGATGTCCTTGATATCTTTTGAATTTCAGTTGACTGATCCTGTTAATTTTTGTAATCGCTGTCCAATTACATGTTTGTTATAAGGGTATTTTAAACCAAAAACAGGAAAAAAGACAAGCTGTTCTAGTTGCTTTACTTAAAATAATGAAAAACCATCTGATATATTTTCCTCTAATTTGGTTTGCGTGTTGCAGTTACAGAAGCATCCAATAATGTTTTCCTCTTGGAGGACAGCCCTCATGATTGGCTATTTCCTCAATGTTCAGCTGTGGTATGCCGTATTTTATGGTTTCACCTTTTTGTTCGGTTTTAACTAATTATCACTCATGTAACCTGCACAGCGATTGGACATTTTTTTTGTAAACCAGTTGTGGATGTTGATTTTTACTGCATGATTTTAAAAGCTGTACTATCGTAAATATGCAGGTTCATCATGGTGGTGCTGGGACTACAGCTACAGGATTGAGAGCTGGGGTAATGTTCTTTTCAGTCAGAGTGGTCGTTCTAATATCATTTATTTCTGGGAGAATGGATGCTTTGTCTTTCACCATTGTATTTTTTTTTGTTGGATATTATCTAATTGCACTATTTTACAATATACAGTGTCCAACAACCATAGTGCCGTTCTTTGGCGATCAGTTCTTCTGGGGTGATAGGATACATGAGAAAGGCTTGGGGCCTGTACCAATACCTATTTCTCAGCTCAGTGTTGAGAACCTTTCAAATGCTATTAGATTCATGCTGGAGCCAGAGGTATTACTGCACCAATACCTATTTCTCGTTTTCAAAATTATTTGTTTATCATATACAATAACCAAGCCTTATCCCACTAAGTGGTGTATGCCGTGCCTTATCGAAGTAATTCTACTAATTCTTTCAAACTTGTGACAACTTAATATTGCTATTCATCCTTAGTATTTCTTCCTTATTGAATCAAACTCCTTGTAACTGTCTCTATAGATTTTATTCACAGAGCAATTACACGTGAATGAGAGTGTGAGTGGTGTGTGTTTTGATTGGTCAGTGATAGACAACCAATGAACCCCAAAAGATTAAACTGTTAATTAATGAGCTAACGATGCATTAGCTAACAAGTCAGAATGTGTGAAGCCTTGTGACTATACTTTTAACAGTAATAGCATTAGCTGAAACGTTACCAGGTTAGATTAAATCCGTTCCTTTCTTGTTTTCATGTTTTTTTTTTCTCAATTAGCATTTATGTTGTTCACTTTGTTTATTAAAATCTGATTGCACCAAAAGACAGCCTTCAGGAGTGCACAAACTACTGAAAATAGGAAACACTACTCAGAATTTAGACTGTACCACAAAAAACATAATGCGGACAGCATGAGAACACACTGAGAAGAACCAGAAACCAAGCAATCATGGAACAATGGACAGAAACAAATCAAATATCCACAAATAATTAACACATATAAGTCTTACAATCTCCGCAAAAGAAAAAAAGGGCTAATAATGTTTCAGTTATTCCTTACCAAACACTTAAGCAATTAGATAATCAGATACAATCCTTCAATTATTCATCAGCAGTGCACTACTCATCATTGCTCAGTTGGAAATAGATTAAAAAATGAAAACAAATATGATATGTTAAAAATTTCATGCTATTAATTGGTAAGCTTTCCTCTTTATAGTGTAAGTCATGCAGTTAGTCCATTAGTGAGAAAATAGTGTAGCAACATAGCACACCAGTCATTCTTTCTAACCAGGAGTTGAAACCATCTTAGGTTAAATCTCGAGTACTAGAAATAGCAAAGTTGATAGAGAATGAAGACGGTGTTGCAGCTGCAGTTGATGCATTTCACCGGCAGTTACCTCCTGAGTTACCATTGCAACCTGCATCTTCAGAGGAAGATGAGCTTCCAAGCCCTATGGTGTTGTTATTTCTTCAACTTCAGAAGTGGAGCTGCCTGCCTTTTGGCATGTAGGATTCTTGCTGTGTCTTGTGCTGTTGTATAGATATGTTTTTTTTTTTTTTATATTCGTAATTTAGATTGGCGTTTCATTCATTTCATTTATGGCTTCCCTGCGTGGGTTTGATTGATAAATTGCTTACAAGTTACAAGTTAATATAGGGTTCTCACAGCTTGGGGTATAGAGAATTACAAAATGTCAAATTTCGTTTCAGTTAGTAAAACTGACAAAGTGAGAATATAACGATGCTGAACCGAATCAATTATTTATATCATTTTTTTCATTATTTGCTTGAGTTCATGTTGTATCAATTTTCGTTGACCCGAGAAATATAAGTACGTGGTTCCGCATAAGATTTGCTGAAGTCAAATGATAATAGTTTTGTCATTTTGATGCTGTGTACCCCAACCTTGGTTTGCAAGCACTCTTTATCTTAGGACACGGGATAGGGCCAAGTTTTGGCTTACTTTGGTATTAAGGGACACTTGTTTTTACATCTCGACAACTACCACATACCTCAAGCTGGTAAGCCAATTATTATTGTATATGTGTGTATAATATATGTATGTATCTATGTATGTACTTCTTCTGTGCGGTTCGTGAGATCTTTCTCAATTCTATTTCTTGACTTTTTATATATCCATCACAGAAAGAATAATAATACAGCATAATTACGGGTTTTGAATCCTGTAAGAAATTGAACAATGTGTTTGAAGGTACAGAGAACTACAAACTGATGTTTGCTTGTCTTTGAACTCTGCTCAGTTGGAGCACTGTAATAGTGAGACATTCTAGAAACTGCTTGTAGGAGTCGAACAATTTTATCGAACCTTGAGATGGTTAGCAACTTTGGTTGCCAGAGAATTTCAGCATTTTGTCCATCTTGCATTGGCAGGTTGAGTAATAGAATTTAATGACTATGGATTATGAAAGTGCTGCTTAATCCTGTATGATTTGCACCGGTAGTCTTACTGTAACTGAAGTAGATGCACTGTAATGACACACTTAGCTATTCACTACACCTTTATTTGTCATTTTTCATTAATTTTAACCGATTACCCCATAAACTTCTATAAATAGCAATTCCTTCTTGGCATTAGATTTTAAAAATTTTCATTCATTTTTCCATTTATCTTGATCACGGGAACACCACATGACAATTGTATGAGGGCAAAAAAGATGGATTTTTTTTTGAAATAAAAAAAAGATGGAAAGTTGAATGGATGAAAAATTGAATGAAATTTTTTAAAATATAACACCAAGGGGAAAATTGGATATTTATAAAAGTTCAAGGCGGTAACGGCTAAAAGTAAAGATCAGGGGGAAAATGGCTAATTATACAAGTTCAGAGGGCTAATCGGCCAAAATTAAAGTTTGTTGATGCACAAAATCAGTGGGGACTTTGGTACAACAGAAAATGTTAAGTTTGTGACATTCGCTAGATTGCTCCGGTCGCTAGTGTGGATAAGTATGTAAATGGATAGAGACATGGGAAGCAAACACAAGATGTACATGGTTCACCCAAATTGGCTACGTCCACGGAGTAGAGGAGTTCTCATTAATTGTGAAGGGTTTACACAAGTACATATGTTCAATCTCTCTTTTAGTGAGTACAAGTGAATGATTTAGTACAAATGACATTAGGAAATATTGTGGGAGAATGATCTCCTTTTATAGAAGAGAGTTTCTAGCTTTGTTTTGACATTGACACGTGTCATGTTGTGATTGGCTTTTGATGTTGACACGTGTTGTGCTATGATTGACTTCTGATGTTGACACGTGTCGCGCTGTGATTGGCCTCCTGGTTGGAGGGAAACTCTTATGGATCCCTGACGGTATAACGTTGACCGGTGCTCAATAGTTTCGGGATTGGTCAAGTATGGTACAAACAGTGCTTCCTTAAGTTCCCGAGTGAGGGAAACTCCTCGGTTAGGGACTTGCAAAATCCAAGCCGCTGAGTAATCACGAAACTTCTAAGTACCGAAGTGTGGTATCGTTTCCACTTGCCTTATCTGTCTCATAGGTAGATGTGACATCTTCTATGGAAGTACTTTTCCTCCATTCAGGGGTGGTATCTTTAACCGGTGCAGATGCACAAGGTAATGTATCAATTTCACTTGAAGCTTACTTGTAGTTTCAGGCTTGGTCAAGTGCGATACAAACCCATATAGTAGGAGTCCCCCAAGTCGCCGAGCTAGGAGATTTGCCGAAAGAGGTGACAGACAAGGTAAGCAATCAGAGTTCCCAGTAATCAGTCCCAGATCAGAAGTTTGATTTCGAGTTCCGGCTGATTGTTCTCATTCTTTCTATCTTGCAAGCAGCGGGAAGGATAAAGAGAAGAAAAAGGAGAAGAGATGATATGAGATACTTTTGCTCTTGAAGAAGTAACTTTCCACATGCTTATTCTTGAACTGGGCTGGAGGGTTTTCTGGTTTCCTCCAGAGTATAATGCCGACTTAAGAATTTGAGGGTTAAAACAAGTCCATTAAATCTAGAGTATGTTCGACCCTGATGATATGAGATACTTTTGATGTTAACAAAGTAGTGGATGTATCGGCACGTGTTCTGTTACGCTTGTCTCCACATGCTTCCTTGTATCATTCTCACTTGCCCTATCTATTTCTCAGGCAGATGTGGTATCTTCTCTAGAACATAAGATGTTGAAGATGAGTACTCGAGAGCAATGCTAGGTAAGTAATCAGGTAAGGAGTTCCAGGTAGTCAGTTCCTGACTGGAAGCTTGATTCCAAGTGCTGACTGATTGCTCTATTTCTCCTTGTCTTGCAGGTAAGAACAAGGCCAAAGGAAAAGACAAGGAAAAAACATGATATGGGATACTCTTGCTTTTAACCCTGATGATATGAGATACTCTTGCTCTGGTGTGGCTTGTTTGCAGAGGTATTATTGGGAGGAAAATAAGTTGAGTATTTCGAGAGACTTTGCTGAGAGTGCCCTCTCGGATGTGAAGAAAAGTTGAGCATTTTTTTTATTTGCAGGTTTGCCTGGCTGTGGAGGATGAATGTCGACATATATAGGAATTGTCCCAACAACGAGTGGTAATGCTGTTCCTTTACCTTTCTTGGTCATAGCAATGTAGTGGGAGCTGCAAGATTCACGTGTTTTAACTTTCTCAGAGCACTTTGAAAAAGTGGTTTGTGGTATCTGGAAAGCTGATGTTGCGTGTGAAGATTGTAGACAAGCTTTATCCAAGGAAATTTGGCTCTCGAAGTTCAGAGAGCGATGTCTCTTCGGTTTTCAAACAAGCAATCCTGTCGGGGATCTAGCTCTCGAGATTCGAAGGTGACTCTTCGATTTTTGAGAAAACAATCCTGTTGGGAGTCTAGCTCTTGAGATTCGGAGAGCGGTACCTCTTCGATTTTTGAGAAAGTAATCTTGTTGGGAGTCTGGCTTTTGAGATTCGGAGAGCGGTGCCTCTTCGATTTTTGAGAAAGTAATCATGTTGGGAGTGTTTTCTCAAATGTGAGTAAAGGTTGGGCATTTTTTGCCAGTCTGCCTTGCCACGGAGCACGGAGGTTGACACATATAGGGACTTTCGAGTATCAAGTAGTGGTGCTTTTCCTTTACCCTTGTGGGTAATAGTAGGGTAGCTGAACCTTCAAAATTTATGTGTCTAAACTTTGTCAGAGATCTTTCGCAAAGTTATCTGTGGTACCCGAGGAGCTGATGTTGCGTGTGAGGATTGTCGACATATTTTACTCAGGAAAATCTGCTTCTCGAAATCCGGAGAGTGGTGCCTCTTCGATTTTTGAACAAACAGTCTTTTATAAGGGCACCAATTGTGTGCAAGAAGTACGTTCTGAGAGTTATTACTTATAGGAATTTTCCTTTTATTTTCGTACTTTAAAGATTTATTGGACCTCATTTCTCCTTCATCATTTTTGAAAATGTCTGGCCCATCCGACCGTCATTTTGACTTGAACTTTAGTGAAGAGACAGCCATGCCTCCTCAAGACAACATATGGCGCCCATCCTTCTTATCCCCTACTGGTCCTCTTACCGTTAGGGACTCTGTGATGAAGAATGATATGACCGCTGCGGTGGTGGCCAGGAACCTTCTCACTCCCAAAGATAACAGACTACTTTCCAAACGGTCTGATGAGTTGGCTGTTAAGGATTCTCTGGCTCTCAGTGTTCAGTGTGCAGGTTCTGTGTCTAATATGGCCCAACGCCTATTTGCTCGAACCCGCCAAGTTGAATCATTGGCGGCTGAAGTGATAAGTCTCAAACAGGAGATCAGAGGGCTCAAACATGAGAATAAAAAGTTGCACAGGCTCACACATGACTATGCTACAAACATGAAGAGGAAGCTTGACCAGCTGCAGGAATCTGATGGTCAGATTTTACTTGATCATCAGAGGTTTGTGGGTTTGTTTTAAAGGCATTTATTGCCTTCGTCTTCTAGGGCTGTACTGCGTAATGAAGCTCCAAATGATCAACCTTTCGGTGCCTCCTCCTTCTGGGGTTCTGTCTAGTACTGAGGCTCCGAATGATCACCCTCCGGTGCCTTCTCTTTCTGGGGCTCTGCCGATTACTGAGACTTCTCCTAAGCAACCTTTGTGAAGGCTCCTTCTTGTTTGTTTATTTTGATTCATGTATATGTACATATTTGTAACTTATCGGAGATATCAATAAATAAGCTTTGCTTCATTTCAACGTATTGTGTTAAATACACCAAAGCCTTCTTCACTAAGTTCTTTGAATTTTTTCTTTTGTTGAAGCTTGTATGTTGAAGCTTTGTGAGTGAAGCATGTATGTTGAGGTAGTGCTCCCTTAATTTCCCGAGTGAGGAAAAACTTCTCGGTTTGGAGACTTGAAAAATCCAAGTCACTGAGTGGTCGTGAGACTTTCGAGTATCAAGGTGCAGTAGCATATGGTAGGAGTCCCCCAAGTCTCCGGTCGAGGGAGTTGACGAATGAGGCATTTCCTTTCTAAGTGGTAGCCCAAAACTCCTCCTTCATTTATATTTGTTATGAAAATTGTTAGGCCCAAAGAAGAGGAGGCCTAGGCAAATTTTTATTTTATTTTATTTTATTTTCAAATTTTCGAATTTCTGAAAATATATATATATATATATATATATTTTTTTTTTAAAGCTTTGTAGGTGAAGCTTTGAGGTTGAAGCTTTGTTGGGCACCATGAATTGATTTTGCTTCACACTATCTTGATCAAGAGTGTGTGAAGTTTTTGTGGGTGAAGCTTTTGTAGGTGAAACTTTTGTGTTGAAGCTTTGTAGGTGAAGCTTTTGTTGGGTACTATGAATTGATTTTGCTTCAAA